CACACACACACACACACACACACACACACACACACACACACACACAGCAAGTATATACAGTGATCCCTCGCCACTTCGCGGTTCACTTATCGCGGATTCGCTATTTCGCGGATTTTCATAATGCATTTTTTTTTTTTGGTGCATTGTGCTCTGCATTCTGATTCGCTAAAAACTCACTCCCGCTTCTTGTATCAAAACATGCTACGAATTGTGCTATCATTTTGTCGTCTCGTGCAGTTATGTGTACGTACATAAAACAGCTTGGCAAATTTACATTAAGTTGGCCAAATTATCTTGTAATTTCGAACATCTCCTAAACCCATAATGTCGACGAAACGGCCTGGACCGACAAAAGCACCTGCGGATGGGCCCAAACGGCGGAAGATGCTACCTATCTCAGATAAAGTTAAACTTCTGGACATGCTAAGGGAAGGTAAAAGCTATGCAGCCGTTGCTCGCCATTACGGAATCAATGAATCTTCCGTTCGTTACATAAAGAAGGAGGAAAAAAAACATAAGGACGACAGCAGCAGTCAATGAGGAGGAAGGACTAACGCTTGGTCGCTTAGCAACCATGGTGCGAATGGCCACTGAACTTAAGCGAGTAGCTGAGGAATGGGACCCTTTGATGAGCCGTTCATTACAGTTCTCCAACGTAATCGATGGTGGCATGTCGGTGTACAAGGATCTTTTTGCAAAGAAGAAAAAAGAGCGACAACAGCTGCCTATCACTATGTTCTTCTCCCGAACAAACACACCTGCACCGCGGGCTTCAGAAGAAGAGAACACTGCAGAGCGCAGTCAGGATGCAGCGGCCCAGTCTGAAGAGCAGTGAAACGGCCTACACGTGAGTCACTGTATTTGTATACATGTAATAGTTGCTAATTGTAAAAAAAAAAAGTTTTCTATTTCGCGGATTTCACTTATCGCGGGTCATTTTCGGAACGTAACCCCCGCGATAAACGAGGGATTACTGTATTTTACATTTACATTTTACGTCATTTAGCAGACGCTCTTATCCAGAGCGACTTACAGTTAGTGCATACATTATTCTTTTTAATTTTCATACCCCATGGGAATCGAACCCACAACCCTGGCGTTGCAAACGCCATGCTCTACCAACTGAGCTACCTCCCTGCCGGCCATTCCCTCCCCTACCCTGGACGACGCTGGGCCAATTGTGCGCCGCCCCATTGGTCTCCCGGTTGCGGCCGGCTACAGCAGAGCCTGGATTCGAACCAGGATCTCTAGTGGCACAGCTAGCACTGCGATGCAGTGCCTTAGACCACTGCGCCACTCGGGAGACGATATGGTGGGAAAGTGGGACAAGTTTAATCTGTTTTGGCCAGGATCAATAGAGAAAGAACAGTGAGCAGCTGAAAGAGACAACAGGACCAACAACAGCAAGGGAGGCCTCACTCACTCATACCTACTCATACTCAGTTCACAAACATACAGTGGGGAGAACAAGTATTTGATACACTGCCGATTTTGCAGGTTTTCCTACTTACAAAGCATGTAGAGGTCTGTAATTTTTATCATAGGTACACTTCAACTGTGAGAGACGGAATCTAAAACAAAAATCCAGAAAATCACATTGTATGATTTTTAAGTAATTAATTTGCATTTTATTGCATGACATAAGTATTTGATACATCAGAAAAGCAGAACTTAATATTTGGTACAGAAACCTTTGTTTGCAATTACAGAGATCATACGTTTCCTGTAGGTCTTGACAAGGTTTGCACACACAGCAGCAGGATTTTGGCCCACTCCTCCATACAGACCTTCTCCAGATCCTTCAGGTTTTGGGGCTGTCGCTGGGCAATACGGACTTTCAGCTCCCTCCAAAGATTTTCTATTGGGTTCAGGTCTGGAGACTGGCTAGGCCACTCCAGGACCTTGAGATGCTTCTTAAGGAGCCACTCCTTAGTTGCCCTGGCTGGTGTTTCGGGTCGTTGTCATGCTGGAAGACCCAGCCACGACCCATCTTCAATGCTCTTACTGAGGGAAGGAGGTTGTTGGCCAAGATCTCGCGATACATGGCCCATCCATCCTCCCCTCAACGGATTTTAATCCATGACGGCGTAGTGTGTTACTAATGGTTTTCTTTGAGACTGTGGTCCCAGCTCTCTTCAGGTCATTGACCAGGTCCTGCCGTGTAGTTCTGGGCTGATCCCTCACCTTCCTCATGATCATTGATGCCCCACGAGGTGAGATCTTGCATGGAGCCCCAGACCGAGGGTGATTGACCGTCATCTTGAACTTCTTCCATTTTCTAATAATTGCGCCAACAGTTGTTACCTTCTTACCAAGCTGCTTGCCTATTGTCCTGTAGCCCATCCCAGCCTTGTGCAGGTCTACAATTTTATCCCTGATGTCCTTACACAGCTCTCTGGTCTTGGCCATTGTGGAGAGGTAGGAGTCTGTTTTATTTAGTGTGTTGACAGGTGTCTTTTATACAGGTAATGAGTTCAAACAGGTGCAGTTAATACAGGTAATGAGTGGAGAACAGGAGGGCTTCTTAAAGAAAAACTAACAGGTCTGTGAGAGCCGGAATTCTTACTAGTTGGTAGGTGATCAAATACTTATGTCATGCAATAAAATGCAAATTCATTACTTAAAAATTACACAATGTGAGTTTCTGGATTTTTGTTTTAGATTCCGTCTCTCACAGTTGAAGTGTACCTATGATAAAAATTACAGACCTCTACATGCTTTGTAAGTAGGAAAACCTGCAAAATTGGCAGTGTATCAAATACTTGTTCTCCCCACTGTATGCCCTCTGCCAATTATTCATTCAGGCTTTCAAATTGATTTACAAACTAATTTTTTACTCATGATGAGCTCACAACAATTAATTTCACTAAGATGCACAAGGTTCCAAAAACTCTCTACTGCTCTTCAAATGAAAACCAACCCTTCTAACAGAAAATCATCTAGCGTATTGTATTGGTACAGTGTGTTATCTAAACACACACAGAGAATACATACAAAGTGCAGCGATTTGGATGGGGACTCATTGCGTCCCTCCCTCTCTCCTCTTCACAGGTGCTAGGGCTTGTACTTCATTAGAACATCATTGACACCTGGGTTGTTAAATGGGTACAATAATTTAGCTTGAAGGGCTGTAAATACTGTAAAATGTGACATTAACATGTAGTAAAACACATCCTAGTAATCATTAATTAGCTTGCCCATTCACAAAGGGGAGCCATACCTGTGTTCTAGGGGAGAGATACAAATTGTCTAGGAGAGGTACAAAATGCTTTTTAATGTATTAGAGTTGGAGAGGGAGCTGTGACATACACTATGAGTAGCATTAGAGTAAATTCTGGAAATAGTTGTGATACTCTTTAGGGCCAATGAGTTTTTCCTAATCACATGACCTGACCAGGAAAAACTCTGGTCTCCATAGGCTAACATGTGATCAGAAAAACTCATACACATGTTCAAAAGATGGAAATAGTTCTGATGTTGTAAAACAACTCTTGGTTCAGCCAGGTCTGAAGTAGTACCTTGGGGATGCAGACATCACAATAACTTATTTCCCCAGCTTTCTATCTGTCTGGCAGATGCACAAATACCATCAAAGCTGACAGGAGGCCCATCTCGTTAGAGCAGCAGTCGGTTTGTACAAATGGAGAGGTTGGATGGGTACCTCAGTCTGGACAGATAGATAGAGGGATGAATTAAACGTCTATACAAATTAATCAAACAGAAACAGGAGAGCGAGGTTTCACCTTCAGTTTTAATCAAATCCAGATGCCATTCTGAAAACAGTAAGGGATGGACATCTATTGATCTGATTGATGGGGAGGGAGGCGGGGATGGGGATGGACGCGTCAGTAGTTTTGCCACAGAGCGGATCACTATTTCATCTGGAACTCAGCAGCTCATGTCATTAGAGTGTAGTTTAATGCATCCCTATACTACTATGCTATACTGATCTGCACCAACCATTGGTTCTGGTAATATACCTGTCCTATATTATGTGTTTGGGTTCTATGGCTCAGTCTGAAATAATCTGCAGTGATATTGGTCCATCTGAAAGTGGAATAAATAGATACCAAATGGGGATTTAACAAGATGTCGCTCACCAACAGTTACGCTCACCACTAATTACAGGTAGGTTCAGAATTGAACTAATTACAGGAGTGTAAAAATCTCCATGTAGGCTACAGGTTTAACCTAGAAATTGGAAACAGTCAACGGAATCATATCAACTACTGTGACAACAAAATAACAAAAGAATGTCACAAACAGCAAGGAGACACTCCTGTTGCCTTCTAATAATAAGGAAAGATAAAACAAAAAAAAGAAAGAATAAGAAAACACAGACACACCTAGACCTCAGCTATACAATGAATGTCATGTCTTTGACAGGGATGTGTGTGAGAGATGCATGTGTCTCATAGGGAGGACTCTACAGTATGTACACATTTATTTCTGATGTATCAACAGGAACTAAGACAGGCTTTGTCTTTGTCTTCAGTAACATGCATGTTGGTCTCTGGAGAACAAAATTAAACGCAAAAAGGAGGACAGGCTAAAGAAAGACGTTAGAAAATATTGTCTCTCATACTCCAAACCAGTCTCTCTCCTCAACTTATTTACAACTTTGATAGCTTTGGACACTTCTCTCATAGACTATGTAATTGCTTAACAACATCAAAGACAGTAGGATAAAGAAATTATGATTTAAAAAGTTAACAAAGAGAGCTGTGCGTGAAAACAAAATGAAACAAGCTTTTCTATTATTAAAGACAGGGAGCAGACATATCTACTAATACAAGTGTCATTCAAGTTTCCCCTAATTTCTGATCCTCGACCATTCCGATAGTAACAATGGAAACAACAATGGCTGCCATCTTGTTGTCATGGCGAGGTACAGTGCCAATCAGTTTCAGTAAAACGCACCCCTCACTCCCTCCTTACTCTGAAGGCATTCGGGTGTGTTAGAGTTACTCATTCGTCCACAAAAAATATAAGCGGCTCTATACAATGTTCTTTGTAGCGTTCTCGTTCAACCTCTCCATGTAATTCCGGAGCTCTTGCGAGTCCCCCAGCTCGATGTCTGGACACACCCACTTAATGTCGCTGGTCTGTCCGAGTGCCAGTGGGCTCAGAACTGGGCATCCGTTATTGGGCTTGACGTTGGAGAACGTGGTGAATTTGACCCTCTTCCTCTTGGTGGTGGGTGAGTTGAGTGACTCGTTCCTGCCTCCGGGACAGCTTCCCTGGGCACTGCCCTTCAGGGCTCCTCCATTCAGCAGCTGGCTGCCCTCCTCCAGGGTTGAGCCCAGCTCGTCCTGCTGCTGCTGCAGGCATAAGCCCTCATCCTGGCCCAGCCACACCCAGTCGTGGGCATGGGGCATTGCCTCAGGGGCCTCCAGGGGCAGTTCCTTGCTGCGGTACTTGAGGGCGTAGGAGATGCAGTTGATGAGGAAGACCAGGATGGCCAAGCAGAAGACCCCCAGCAGGGCGTACATACCGATCTCCAGGTCTGTAAGGCCACGGCGGGACGACAGCAGGTCCTCCTCTGTGCTGCGGCCCCGTGGCAGCTCCGCCTGGGCAGGGAACTCAGAGAACTCTCCAGGGACTCCTCCGTCGGCCGACAGCCTGTCCCCGTTGGGCCGCACCGGGATGGGGGCCTTAACCGTGGTAGCGCCCCGATTCATGATTCCAGCCTCAATGTCAGAGATGGAGCCTCCATAGTAGGGCAGGTCTGGTCGGGTTCTGCCTCCGGGGCGGCTGTACGGATCCTCAGAGCTGCCAAACCTAACACGGACGTTTCCTACCCCAGCTGCCAGGATGATGCGTCGCTTCGTCTTATGGCAGCTCTCTGATGATGTCATCTCTACGCGCACCAGTAACCCTTGACCTTCGCCCTTCGCCACGATGACCGGCCACTTCCACTCCGCGCTGCGCTGTACTGACACCACCTGCTCGTCCAATGAGGTGGCTGTGAGCACAAAGTGGGCGGGGTCATAGTGGTCCAGAGGGGTCATGGAGCCGTCACTGAACTGAAGCCAGGCACTAATAAGGGACTCCTGAGGACACATACATACAAACAAACACACACACACAAGCATGCACGCACACACACAGACATCAGTGCGTCACCAGTCTTGTTTTTCCATCAAAAGGGTAAACTAAACAACGCTGTCTGAGTAGCGCTTCAACAAAACCAATCTCTACCCACATGTCTACTCTATAACACCAACTCCCCTTGGGACACACTGCAGCATAAAAGGAAATAATGCTTCCCTGTCAATGTAAACTGTTACTGTTACTAGACACAAGCAACCGGTATCAGCAGGAATCTCATCTTTTCATCTTTATCAAGAGAGAAAAAGAAAGAAAGAGTGAGTGTAGAAGTAATGAGAGAGAGAGAACCCCTACAGATGTACAGAGATGTTTTAATTAGCCAGATTTAAAAGCACAGGAGAATTTCAGCTGAGCAGGAGGTCTCTGCAGCTGTTCCTCTGAAAATATGTACATTTCAGAAGCAGACATGTTCATTGAGATTAGATCAATACTTTGATATCAGAATCTGATCATATTCACTATAAAGGATAAAATGGCAGCCAATTTAACTCCACCTATTCCGGGTGAGAAAGTTACAGTTTACCTTTAGCCTTACAGATCGCTCACATATCTCATATACACATTTTGAAAATTCCCATATACCATTTCTATCTATTGGTGAACATATGATACTGTATATTTGGTGCAGTCGGTTGCTCAGGCATGTGTGTATGGTTACCTGTTTGAGTTTCTGCATTACTTCCTGTGTGGTAGTCGTGGCGATGATGGCCCTGTTGCTCCCTGGGCTGAGCTGGAGGGACAGAGAGAGGCCAGAGACCAGCTGCACTCCCAGCTCTGTCACACTCACTTTGTCTTCCAGAACCCTGACCATCCGCTCAGCCAGGATTGAGTCAGACAGAGGAGACATCACCTGCAACATTATACACACACATTAGTATAAACACAGACAAACACACACACACACACACTTGTATTGGTTCAACTTCAAATATATAATGTCACATCACCTGTACAAGCATTCACACTGAAGCCAACACCATCAATAATAGACGGAGGGAAGAGCAAAGATGTCAACATGACAAGCTTATATTAACACTGAAGAAAGAACATAAAGATGGAGGAACATCATGACCCAAGCTCTTTCATAATGTACTGTGCTTATATGAATCAAGACAAGATGATGCATGTACTGTGCATCTGCGATCACCAGCCACACACTCAGAAACACTCAGACACACACACACTCTGCCTGCGTCTCTCTGACTGGCAGTTCCCTGGCTCCGAGGGCTACTGGAGATGTAAGCATGTAAATGTGAGTGATGTGTGATGAGAAGGGAAGTACTTCCATCCACACTCATTAGGCCTGAGTCTCCTCTACACCCTCCTCCTCTCCACCACCCGTCCACACACAGACCCACACCTCCACTCCTTCCACGCTGCCATAATGAACTGTCAGCACTGATCACTGCCTCATCTGAAAAGGACCATGGCCAACACACTCCTCCTCCACAGCACCATACTGTTAAAGCTGCACGCTACTGGCTGCATGCTAACAACACAGCTAAACACACTGGGAACACACAAGGCCAGCTGTGTATATATGTGTACTGTGGCACCTGTAGGGCTGGGTCAAAGGTCGAACATATAAGGCCCAGGGGTCATTTGTGACCCGTTTCAGAAAGATGGGCGTATGACGGACGTCACTACTTCACAGGAGAATCATTTGAATGTAAAAAATGTTTTTTCATCCCAAAAATGTTTTGGTTTCTTCAGTAATGCCTTCTTGAACATGTGAACTGTCATGTGCCTTAATAACAAACACGTATGTCATCTTTAAATATGAAAAAAAGACAGGAACCTTCCCACTAGCGATGATTGGCTGAGATAATGGATGGGTTGGACATGACGAGAGATGAGTTCTGATTGGTCTGCCATGTTGCAGACCAATCTGTCTAAAACATGAGCAGCTCAGATAATCCTTGTGACCGCGTTTAAAAAAACAAAGATTGGAAAACTGTAAAAGTGTTGCTACTGCTCTCAACAACATTGCTGCCATGAATTTAGCAGGCGCTATCGATGAAGCTCAGTGGGAAAAAGTTGTGATGGAGTACTTTCTGGAGGACGATCGTGCCATGCTGAATCTCTTTGACTCTGAAAACAAATCGGACGATGAGGAAATCCCTTACTGAAGTAAAAACATTTGAATTGAACCAGACATTGTAAAGTCTTCTGATGACAGTGATGGGAAACAAACAGAGATGAACAGCGTTGTCATGGAAGAAGTGAAATCAGTGGAATACCCGCTGGAAAAGGAGTATGAGAAGGAGATGGAGAACATTTTGATGTTTGATTGCAAATGTGGAGGGAGTCGAAAAGAGAACACAGAAGGCAGTGGTATAAAAGTAGAGTCTAGCTACAGATATTATGCGTTTCTACTTTTGTCAAAAAGTAATTTTCATTGCAAGTTAAAGCATACTGTTAGCTAGCTACTCTAAGGCTTCATGCCACAATGACTACCGCCCTGTAGCACTCACTTCCGAAATCATGAAGTGCTTTGAGAGGCTGGTTATGGCACACATTAACTCCACTGTCCCAGACACCCTAGACATTTACATTTGATACATTTTTTGTCATTTAGCTGACGCTCTTATCCAGAGCGACTTACAGTTAGTGAGTGCATACATTTTCATACTGGCCCCCCGTGGGGATCGAACCCACAACCCTGGTGTTGCAAGCACCATGCTCTACCAACTGAGCTACACAGGGCCACTCCAATTTGCATACCGCCCCAACAGATCCATTGATGACGCAATCTCAATTGCTCTCCACACTGCCCTCACCCACCTAGATAAAAGGAATACCTATGTGAGAATGCTGTTCATTGACTACAGCTCAGTGTTCAACATCATTGTCCCCTCCAAGCTCATCACCAAGCTTAGGACTCTTGGTCTGAACACCTCCCTCTGCAACTGGATCCTGGACTTCCTGACGGGCCGACCCCAGGTGGTGAGGGTAGGCAACATCACCTCCGCCAGATTGACCCTCAACACATGGGCCCCATAGGGGTGTGTGCTTAGTCCCCTCCTGTACTCCCTGTTCACCCACGACTGCGTGGCCACGCAGGACTCCAACACCATCATCAAGTTTGCTGACCACGCGATGATGGTAGGCCTGATCACCGACGACGATGAGTCAGCCTACAGGGAGGAGGTCAGTGACCTGGCAGTGTGGTACCAGAACAAAAACCTCTCCTTCCACATCAGTAAAACCAAGGAGCTGATCGTGGACTACAGGAAACAGGGGGGCGAGCACGCCCCCATCCACGTCGACGGGACTGTAGTGGAGCAGGTCAACCGTCAAGTTCCTCTGTGTCCACATCACTAAAGACTTAAAATGGTCCAAACACACGCTCTCAGTCGTCTCTTCCCCCCTCAGGAGGTTGAAAAAGTTTGGCATGGGCCCTCAAATCCTCAAAAAGTTTACATCTGTACCATTTAGAGCATTTTGACTGGCTGCATCACTGCCTGGTATGGCAATAGCACCGCCCTCGATCGCAAAGTGCTACAGAGGGTGGTGCGGACAGCCCAGTGCATCACTGGGGCCGAGTTCCCTGCCGTCCAGGACATCTATATAAGGTGGTGTCACGCCCTGACTCAGGGGACGCTTATTTGTTGAGTCAGGGTGTGTATATTCTATGTTGTGTAGTTCTATGTTTTCTATCTAGTATGTATAGATCTATGTTGGCCGGTGTGGTTCCCAATCAGAGGCAGCTGTCACTCGTTGTCTCTGATTGGGGACCATACTTAGGCAGCCTATTGGCACTGTCAAGTTGTGGGATCTTGTTCCGGTTAAGGTATGTTGTGTTGTGCTGCCTTGGACTTCACGTTTCGTTCGTTTGTTGTTTTGTCGGTTGTTTATTCATTTAAATAAACATGTACGTATATCATGCTGCGCCTTGGTCTGACCCGTCTGTAAACTAACGTGACAGAAGATCCCACCAAACGAGGACCAAGCAGCGTGTCCAGGCGGCGCGGATGGCTATGTCACAGGTGGCCAATTTGTGGTCATGGGAGGAGATATTCGCGGGGAAAGGACCATGGGCTAAGGTAGATACCCGGGCAGGAGAGAAGCAATGGCAACACGGAGGAGGCCGGTCGAGGAGGAAGCCTGAGAAGCAGCCCCAATAAAAAAAATGTGGGGGGGGCACACGGAGTGGTTGGCGGAGCCTAGGGTTAGAGCAGAGCCAACTCCCCGTACTCACGCGAAGAGGCGTATGACTGGGCAAGCTCCGTGTCCTGTGCGAAGATGGGCATCCAGCCAGGACGGGGTGTGCCGGCTCAACGCTCCTGGTCTCCAGTACGCCTCCTCGGTCCCGCATATCCTGCGCCAGTTCTACGAACTGTATCGCCAGTGCGCGTGCACAGCCCAGTGCGTCCTGAGCCAGCACCCCGCACGTGTAGTGCGAAAGTGGGCAGCCAGCCAGGACGGGTTGTGCCAGCTCTCCGCTCTAGACCTCCAGACAAGTCCGGCCCGGCCTGTTCCTGCTCCTCGCACCAAGCCAGTGGTGCGTGTCGCCAGCCCGGCCCGGCCTGTTCCTGCTCCTCGCACCAAGCCAGTGGTGCGCGTCTCCAGCCCGGCCCGGCCTGTTCCTGCTCCTCGCACCAAGCCAGTGGTGCGCGTCTCCAGTCCATCCCGGCCTGTTCCCGCTCCTCGCACCAAGCCAGTGGTGCGTGTTCCCAGCCCGGCCCAGCCTGTTCCTGCTCCTCGCACCAAGCCAGTGGTGCGCGTCGCCAGCCCGGCCTGTTCCTGCTCCTCGCACCAAGCCAGTGGTGCGCGTCGCCAGTCCGGCCTGTTCCCGCTCCACCGGTGCCTGATCCAGCTCCGGTCAGCTGCTCTAGTCCGGAGCCAGAACAGTCCGCTCCACCGGTGCCTGATCCAGCTCCGGTCAGCTGCTCCACTCCGGAGCCAGAGCAGTCCACTCTACTGGGGTCCAGTCCAGCTCCGGTCAGCGGCTCCACTCCGGAGCCAGAGCAGTCCGCTCCACCGGTGCCTGATCCAGCTCCGGTCAGCGGCTCCACTCCGGAGCCAGAGCAGTCCGCTCCACTGGGGTCTAGTCCAGATCCGGACAGCGGCTCCACTCCGGAGCCAGAGCATTCCGCTCCACCAGTGCCTGATCCAGCTCCGGTCAGTGGCTCCACTCCGGAGCCAGAGCAGTCCGCTCCACCGGGGTCTAGTCCAGATCCGGTCAGCGGCTCCACTCCGGAGCCAGAGCAGTCCGCTCCACCAGTGCCCAGTCCAGCTCCGGTCAGCGGCTCCAGTCCGGACCCAGACGTCAGCCCCTCTCCAGGTTCGGGGTCTCCCACACCAGGGTCCAGACAGGGCTTGGAGTATAGTGGGAGGAAGGAGAGGGGAAGCAGCGCGCCGAGGTCCAGACCAGACCAGGGGCGCAACAGGGAGGCGGAGAATAGGTGGTTGTCACGCCCGGAGCCGGATCCGCCTCCGAGGCGGAATGCCCACCCGGCCCCTACCCTGTTAAGTAAAGGTTGTGCGGTCGGAGTCCGCACCTTTGGGGGGGGTACTGTCACGCCCTGACTCAGGGGACGCTTATTTGTTGAGTCAGGGTGTGTATATTCTATGTTGTGTAGTTCTATGTTTTCTATCTAGTATGTATAGATCTATGTTGGCCGGTGTGGTTCCCCAATCAGAGGCAGCTGTCGCTCGTTGTCTCTGATTGGGGACCATACTTAGGCAGGCTATTGGCACTGTCAAGTTGTGGGATCTTGTTCCGGTTAAGGTATGTTGTGTTGTGCTGCCTTGGACTTCACGTTTCGTTGGTTTGTTGTTTTGTCGGTTGTTTATTCATGTAAATAAACTTGTACGTATATCACGCTGCGCCTTGGTCTGACCCGTCTGTAAACAAACATGACAGGTGGTGTGATAGGAAGGCCCGGAAAATCTTTAAAGACTCCAACCACCCAAGCCATAGACTATTCTCTCTGCTCTGCACTGCAAGCGGTACCGGTGCATTAAGTCTGGCACCAACAGGCTCTTGAACAGCTTCTATCCCCAAGCAATATGATTGATAAATAGCTAACAAGATGACTACACAGACTATCTGAGTTAACCTTTGATCTTCATTGACCATTTATTTTTATTTTTTCACTGTCTCTATGCACACTTGCAGGTCCTTACACACTGACACACACACTCACTCCATCACCTTCTCACTCACACATAATATGCACGTACATTTAAACTGACTCTACACACACCCACACTCACTCACATACAAGCTGCTGCTACTCTGTTTATCTTACATCCTGTTGCCTAGTCACCTTACCCCTATACATATCTACCTTCATCACTCTTGTATCCCTGCACATTGTAAATATGGTATTGGAACTGACCCTGTATATAGTGTGCTTACTTACTTACTTATTGTGTTCTTCATATTTCTTCTTATTTCTTGTGGTTTTTGTTCTAGTATTACATTGTTATTGATTATTGCATTGTTGGGTTTTGAGTTTGCAAGAAAGGCATTTCACTGTACTTGTGCATGTGACATAAAAAACTTGAGCTAGCTAGCTAGCTAGCTAACATTAGCTGGCTGGCTCGCTAGCTACGTGCATGATCTGTGTAGTAATATTATTCATATCTCAGAAAAACATTTGCATAGCTAACTAGCTAACATTGAATCTAGTTGGTTAGCTTCCTGCATATTCATACTACATCATTTCATGCATGGTGGCTAGCTATGATATTCCGTTGTATGGGTTGTATTTCTACTGTATGGGTTGGGATTATGGTTCATTGTTTAGCTGCTAGCTAGTTTACATGTTTAAACAAAAGACTCCACTTCGCCAGATGATTACATGACCCATCAACTTGGCCAGGCGTGTCTGGGGGTGATTATGGCCATCTATTGTATTTCATGAACATGTGAACAGGTTCTAGGCAATAGAGACCCATACACTTAGATAGATGTGATTGAGGAGTGGTTATAGCCTCTCTTTCACATGACCCATCAATTGAGGCAATTGTGTCTGGGTAAGCCTCGTCTAATAATGATTAAATATTTTTATCTGGAATTTGTCTTTCAGCATTTTGGTATTTTATTAGGAAAGCAGCAGCTACTCTTCCTGGGGTCCACACAAAACATGAAACATTACATCATACAGAACATTAATAGACAAGAACAGCTCAAGGACAGAACTACATCAATTTTAAAAAGGCACACGTAGCCTACATATCAATACATACACACAAACTATCTAGGTCAAATAGGGGAGCTGCGTTGTGCCGTGAGGTGTTGCTTTATCTGTTGTTTGAAACCAGGTTTGCTGTTCATTTGAGCAATATGAGATGGAATGGAGTTCCATGCAATAATGACTATATAATTCTATATGCTTTCTTGAATTTGTTCTGGATTTGGGGACTGTGAAAAGACCCCTGGTGGCAAGTCTGGTGGGGTAATTGTGTGTGTCAGAGCTGTGTGTAAGTTGACTATGCAAACAATTTGGAATGTTCAACACATTAATGTTTCTTATAAAAAATAAGAAGTGATGCAGTCAATCTCTCCACAACTCTTAGCCAAGAGAGACTGGCATGCATAGTATTTATATTAGCCCTCTGATTACAATGAAGAGCAAGACGTGCCATTCTGTTCTGGGCCAGCTGCAGTTTAACTAAGTGTTTCCTTGCAGCACTCGACCACACGACTGGTCACTTATCAAGATAAGACAAAACTAGAGCATGCTGACTCTCCTCCACCAGTCATACAAGGAGAATGGTCTAATGCCTCCCATCAAAAAGAGAGCTGGCCCAAGCAAGCACAGGTTACAACTGAAGCATGAGGACTTGCAGCGAGTTGTGAACTTCATCAACAACTATGCAGAGGATAATGCAATAGTATTACCAGGACGCCACCCAGGACACAAAAACTTTGGTGGAAGGCTGCTGCCATGTGACAAAGCAGTGGTGTGGCATCTCTACAACGAACTGATGACAACACTTGGTATGTAAAGCATAAAGAACACATATTTTGATTATTTCATTTACCACCAAAAAATTGCCACTACTTTTAGTGATCTTATATTTTTTATAAAGTTGATCTTTACCTGGAGTTTTTCCTTATTGTAGGCTACTACTTTTACCACTTTTAGTCTTGAACTCTTGGGTTGGTTACTACACTACCTTAGACACTATGTTTAAGACATGGCCTCACGTGAATCCTTAAAAGAGATGGGTGGAGCTAAGGCTTAAGAGGGTGTGAACAAAGAAGTGTGTCACGGATTCTGCCGAGGCTGCTCCTCCTCCTAGTTCGGGCAGGCTTCGGCGTTCGTCGTCCCCGGAGTACTAGCTACCACCGTTGAATGTTTCTATGTGTGATTGCTTTTGTCTGTCTGTCACACCTGTGTCCGTTTGTGTATGATTACGTGTTCTATAAGTTGCCTGTGAAAGTATTGGTTAGGTTGTGTGTTGTTTCGCCTGTCCGTTGTGCTGCGTGTTTTTTGTAATTGTTTCATTGTTTATTGTTTTACGCATAGTTTGCGTATTGCTCGCCTCTGTTTAGTGTTGAGGCCGTTTACTGTATCTTTGCCTATCGGTTTCACAGTAAACATTGTTGGACTAAGCTTCGGTGTCCTGTGCCTGACTCCCACACCACATACACCTCAGCCTTGACAAAGTGTAAAAACTGAACCAAAACTTTTCAAGGGCCATTTCTCTTTTCAAGTGGAGTTACAAGTTTATAAACGTTCAAAGCAGCATTACTTTGCCATTTTTCCTCCAATTGCAGTGTAGAACATACAGTTTTGAAGCTCTGAGTCTGTACTTTTATCAAATGTCAGAAACACCAGTTAAAATTTTGGAACAACTGAAAGGAGATGGGGTGTCACATTTGCAGCCTGTGGTTTGAAGTGATATGACCCCCCCCCCTCATGTGCTATCATGAGCATATAGGTAGAGGTAGGTACCTTGTTGTTACCTTGATGCTTTTAGGTCTATTTAGGACTATTTTATTATCTAAGAGGGTACATTGTGTCACTGGTCAGATTAAGCCAAAGCTTTATCCTAAAATCCAGCAGCACACCTACCACCACATTTTCATTCAATGTCCTTTAATCTACTCTATAATGAAGTGAAATAAAATAATGAATAAATAAAAGTAACTTATAAAAGTAAAGAGGGCCTTATTTTATTACATCTGTTGGTGACATTGTAGAGACATTGGCAAAACATTGAACTATTCAAAGCTGCATTTGAAGCTTTCAGTAAGCTTTGTCCTGCCTTAGTTACTAATGCAAGTGTTAGGGCTTGGGAAAAGCAGTGATTGTACCTTATAAAGCTAATAACCGGTTTTATGAGGTAGAGTGATTTATCAATTTAGTGGCAGCTAAAACAACGGGGCAGGGAGAGATGCATCTGACACATGAAATGGGTTTTATTTTTGGTAACCGTGGAGACCCAGGGCTATCTACTCCCTTTACAGCAGAATTCCTTTTGATAGTTTGATTACAAGACCCTCCTTGCCGATTGCAGTGATTTGCTCTTCTTTTTATTGGATTTTAATTCTAGACAATTGAGGACCCTCTTGTTTGTAGCTGGATCTACAATCACTCCAGTGAAGCGAGAGGCAATTTTGCTATCAAATAAAACTTCAAAGGCTCTCTAACAGCACTGTCAATACTCCTTTGAGGTTGCTGCATTTGGGGTTCTCTGAGTGCCAGTGTGTGTGTGCGCTTCAGGGGGGAGAGGAAAAAAGAAATGAAGAGAGAGAGAGAGAAAGAGAGAGAGAAGTATAGTGTGTTCTGTTTTGTGCGTTTGTGTGTTTCTTTGCATGTGAGTGATCAGCATCAGAAGGATGCTTCAAAACTATAGATTTGTTTTACTTTGAGTGTTTGTGTGTGTGTGTGTGTGTGTGTGTGTGTGTGTGTGTGTGTGTGTGTGTGTGTGTGTGTGTGTGTGTGTGTGTGTGTGTGTGTGTGTGTGTGTGTGTGTGTGTGTGTGTGTGTGTGTGTGTGTAATAAGCCCCCTATAATAGCAGAGGAGGGGAGGGACAGTGACATGATGGCTTTGTAGCAGAGTGAATGATTACAGGGTTATCAAGGTTGCCTTTGACATTCATAAAGTGCCTCGCCACTCTTATTGAGTCATAGACATTCTCAAACCATCCAAAAGGACGCAAACAAATAGAGGGACAACACAGTGCAACCATTGACATGATTTCCATCAATTTCCCTGCTGTTTGTTTCTGCCTCTGGGCCAAGGTCGCCATTGGAAATGAGAAATGGTTCTCAACTGACAACCGGGGCACATAAAGGTAATAGGGTATTGTACATCGACACACACAACTGCAACTCATCAATAAGGAGAAGAGATGCAGGTCCATGGCTCAGGCCTTGGCAAAGCTGTTGTGTTGTGTTGTTGGGAAAAAGCTTGATCGATTGTGTTTTACACCGTAAGTGGGCACAGTAATGATCTAATTGGGATGGGGGTATGTGAGTGGGGTGTGTGAGCCTACATGCCCTCAGAGACTCAGCAGCCTTTATTGGCTGTGCTTCAGGCTCACGTTGTTTTGTCAGGCCCTGATTGGCTAAGTGTTTGTGTTGTGCCAAGATCGATTCTGTTGCCTTTTTAAAGTCTCCCTCTCAACGAGCCTCCGTTTACTTTGTATTTTCCAATTGTTCCTCCTCCATTCCCCATCCTCTAATATTTTGTCCAAGCAGGTGCTCTCTTTCTTTCTTTCAAGCTCTCTTAATCATGTTGTTTCTTTCTCCCCTTTGCTCTCTCTCTATCACACACTAATACTCTCATTATTACTCTTTCCTCCTCCCTCCCTCCCTCCCTCCCTCCCTCCCTCCCTCTCGCTCTCCCCCTCTCTCTTACCTGTAGTTTGGCTGTGCCGGTGCTGAGGCCCATCAGGACCTGTCCCTTCAGTAGGCGGGCCACACGTTGGTCCTCCACCCTCAGCGAATCCTGGACCAGGTCAGTCACGTCCACCTGCCAATCACTGCCCAGCAGGAAGTCCTGTTGGCCCAGCCCATCAGCTCCCAGGGCCACAAAGTGTGTGAAGACCCGCACCGTGGTTCTCTGGTACTGAGGGACACAGCCACTCTCTGTCCTCTCACTGTCCACTTTATCACCATCATCCTCACTCACCCTCTCATTCCTGGAGAAAATAAAAATAAAAACGCTTGGTAAGAAGCATAAAAGGAGCATTAAAGTAGGAAAATTAAAATCAAATCAACAGTTTACTGCAGTTATCACAGACACATTTGGATGTGGGTATTTGTTTACTCCGAAGCAAAATATCAAATAATCACAATGCAACCAAATTTCAGAGGAAAAATATGTTTACTTGCAAGGTGACTTTTGAGAAAGTCTTTAGAAAAAGTTCTGAAACTGTTCTTTAGAAAATGTTCTCTACTCTATTCTATTCCACCATTACACTTACTTCTCTGTCTCTATCTTCTCCTTCATTCTTTTCCATTGTTTGAATTGAAAGAGGGATTGAAACCCTGGTCTGTAGGGACACAGTCTTCCAACCTGGTCTCAGAGCATTTCGTATTATTCTGTACGTAAATCTGAGACACTCCATTTAGTATGATATATTCATTTTCATATGGTATGTATTAATTTGTATGATATCTTTCGTAGGATATGTTATGAATTAGAATTTGTATTATATGTTACGAATTTGCAAATGTATAATATGTTACAAATTTGCTAAACATATGTTACGAATTCTAGGTAGGTGGCTAGTTGGCTAACATTTATAGCCATTAATCTAAAATAATTCATAGATTTTAAACAAAATAACACTTTCTGTTTGACAAGATGAATATGAGATGAAGGGTGAGTTCCTAACAGGATCAGGAAGCCAAGCTAGAGCTCTGTGAGATATTCACAGCGATGGGGTTAGACATTTTGACCAAGAGACGTTTAGAACATATGCAAAATGTCTCTAACACTGATTATCCAAATATGGATTTTACAGTTAAAAGGAAGGTGAAATCTTATAGTTAATCATTTTATAATTTCATTATGCTATATTCAGAAAGCATATAAATCATGTCAAGCCTTATTCATACAGTTTTGTTGAATAGGAAATACATCATATAAAATATTTCATATTTTCATATTTTTATCATGTTTGTACTGTGTACTTGAGCTTGTGTCCTCAAAAGTGACTACACACCTCAGCAATTTATAACTATTTTTACCAGAAAGGTGAGATTTTAACCTTTCTTTGAGTATGCAGCATTACTAGTTACTGTTTATTGCCCTCTGATGAAAAATAACTACTTTTGGGGATTACGTTGATTAGCTAGGCTAGGGGTTAGGGGTTAGGGTTAAGGTCAGGGTTAAGTTTAGGAGTTAGGTTAAAGGGTTAAGGTTAGGGGAAGGGTTAGTTAAAAGGGTTACATTTAGAGTTAGGTAAAGGGTTAGCTAAAGGGGTTAAGGCTAGGGGAAGGGTTAGCTAACGTTCTAAGTAGTTGCAAAGTAGCTAAAAAGTAGTAAGTAGTTGAAAAGTTGGTAATTAGCTAAAATGCTAAAGTTGTCTGTGATGAGATCGTTTTTTTGCCTTAAGTAAACATCTGTCTTATGTAACAATACCAAACGTAACATCTAACTGTAAGTCGCTCTGGATAAGAGCGTCTGCTGAATGACTAAAATGTAAAATGTAAATATCATACTAAATGGAGTGTCTCGGAGTTACATACAGAATAATACGAAATGCTCTGAGACCAGGTTGAGTCTTCTTCATCTACTGTGATGAACCCCATACAGCAGCAGTAGGGCTGATGAGGTAAAGTACAGACCAGGGAGAGGCATCTCTGTTCAGCCCAGTGACAGACAGAGCGTGGCCCAACGACTCTAACCTCCTGTAAACAGTGGAGCACTGTGAACACAGGGGCTACAGCCATTACCCTGACACCACTCCACTCTCCATTCCCTCCAACTCTCTACCTCTCGTTCTCTCTACCTTACATGTTTTCTCATTCAAATCTCTTTCTTTCTCTCTCTCCACTCAGTCTCTCTTGTTCTTTCTCCACTGAATATTTTTTTAAAAACACCTTCCCTCTCTCTCTCTCTCTCTCTCTCTCTCTCTCTCTCTCTCTCTCTCTCTCTCTCTCTCCTCTCTCCTCTCTCTCCCTCTCTCTCTCTCTCTCTCTCTCTCTCTCTCTCTCTCTCTCTCCTCTCTCTCTCTCTCTCTCTCTCTCTCTCTCTCTCTCTCTCTCTCCTCTCTCTCTCTCTCTCTCTCTCTCTCGCCCACCCCACCCCCCCACCCCGACACTAACAATTTCCATTAGGTTTAATGATGCATGACCATCCAGGCAGAAAAACAGGCTGACAGGTCAACATGCTGGAGCTGACTGGCTTTGGTGCCCGGGCCCCCCATTCCTCCCCCCACCACCTCTTCACCGGTGGGATGACACACACACGACAGCCTAATCGAGGTGACATTTGCAGCAGGGAGCAGACAAAAGCAGGCAAGTCAGATAAGGTCTGGGCCTATAATGAGCTCGCTTTCAGACTCACGACTCGACTGGCCTTCTCACCTCTCCTACCCACTGGACTAGAGAGATCAGGGGCTCAGAGAGGGCCATGACAGCAGGGGCATATGTGTTAGAGCGCCACCTGGTGGCCCCAGGTTAAAGGGTTTGCACAGTGCATTGGTGATATGTTGTACTTTGAAGTGGATTTTAGCATGCATTGTGCAAGACTACTGAACAATCTATAGAACATATGCCTCAAGCTAAATAACTCAAGCTTAATTGCCCGAATGTAATTGCCCGTTCTATAACAATGAGCGAAAATGAAAGACAGACTCCAACTCTATTCTTCTCTCTCTGTCTTCCTTGTTCAGACATGCTTTTGCCACCAATCAATCTCGCTTTCACAACAAACAGGAACAAGACTGCCTGTGTAAGGACATTGCCAGAATGTTGTGGAGGTGAGAACAGATATGTTAGTCTTGCGTCTGGCTGACAGAAAGTGAGTCAGCGACAGAAATGAGAGACAGAGTCATGGCAGTAATTGAAAGTCACGTTTTCTCCCCTCAGAGAGACCATCTGAGTCACCGGCGTCACCTGGGTATCCTGAACACAGCGGTGGCCAGAGAGGGGGCGTGATGGGGGACAGACAGGTGTAGGCTCCATGATTAAGACATTAGCATCATCACAGTTATTCTAAACCTCCAGATGAAGATACCTATATGTGGGCAGACTGGTACAAGACTACTTAAAAAATAAGTTTTAAATATGTGGGAGGTGGTGGTACAACCATCAAAATTAACAAGATGCTTGAAGATGATTCTTGAACGTCAGTATTTTACTCTGCACTGCAATTACTGTGAAAGTCAATCTCCCAAGCAGTTTGAAATAGGTAACACATCTCACTGTCTGGTAAAACTACTCGCCTCCTGTTGCCGGCAGCCACGGGGACCCTCCAGCCCTTGATCTGGCTGAGTTCGGGGTCGGCCACGTCGATAAGCAGTGGGAGGCGGGGCATCCACACACTCATCTCCAGTTGGGCACTCAGGTAGCTGTAGGTGAAGTTGAGCACCATCCTCATCCTCCCCCTCGTCTCCTTCCCATTAACAAACACATAGTCACAACGATCTGACACCTTGGGTGAAGAGGATGAGAGAGAGGAGAAATAGGAAAACATGTTATTAAGAGAAAGACAAAAGAAACTACACTGAGTGTACAAAACATTAAGGACACCTGCTCTTTCCATGAAATAGACTGACCAGGTGAATCCAGGTGATCCCTTATTGATGCCACTTGTTAAATCCACTTCAATGAGTGTAGATGAAAGGGAGGAGACTGGTTAAAGAAGGATTTTTAAGCCTTGAGACAATTGAGATATCCACCACCCAAAGGGCATCCATCCAACGACACAACTGTAGGAAGCATGGGAGTCAACATGGGCCAGCATCCCTGTGGAACGCTTTCTAAACCTAGTAGAGTCCATGCCCTGACGAATTGAGGCTGTTCTGAGGCCATCTGGTGGTGGGGGGGGGGGGTGTTCTTAATGTTTTGTACACTCAGTTTAAGTTCAAAATGTAGGCTACTGCTTTATGAAAGAATAAGATACAACAGTGCATTGTCTAAGGGAAGTCCAGGGTCGAAAGTTACATCAAATTATTTCAATGCAAATATTAGTCATACAAGTTTGTACAGCTAGAGGGAGACAAATATTTTATTATTTTATCCTTCAAAGAAAATCGGCCATTTATAAAGACTTGACATTTCTCCCTCTGCTCTGTAATGATTCAGGTGACAGACTTGACATTCCTTGACCAAGCCCTTGAAATCTCTATTCAAGTGTGTGTGTGTGTGTGTTTGTGTGCGTGCACCAGTGGAGGCTGCTGAGGGGAGGACGGCTCATAGTAATGGCTGGAATGGAGTCAATGGAATGGTATCAACCAACGGAAACCACGTACTTGATACCATTTAATTGACTCCATTCCAGCCATTATTATGAGCCGTCCTCCCCTCAGTTAGAGTGTGTGTGTGTGTGTGTGTGTGTGTGTGTGTGTGTGTGTGTGTGTGTGTGTGTGTGTGTGTGTGTGTGTGTGTGTGTGTGTGTGTGTGTGTGTGTGTGTGTGTGTGTGTGTGTGTGTGCGCGCACGAGAGCGCACATACAAGGCCAGTGTGATGGAATGGGCCAAAAATCTCAACAGATGGACCAGAGAAAGACACAAATCCCTGGCCACCCCTCTTTATGATTGGCTAAATCCGCCATGTCTCCTCCAATCAGCTCCAAAGCCTCTCAGATATAGATGGACCAATGGCATGGCAGGGTTTCTAAAGAGCATCTAAGACACTTATGAACTTCTATCTTCAAACAAACTAAACCACTCGATCAGGCATGTATTCTTTCACAAAAGCCTGTGAGGACAGATTTTGTTTTAGTGTCTCCATATTCAATGGCTTGTTAAAGCCTTTCGTTTATAATCACAACCATTTTCCATTCATCTGAAGCTTTGGATGGAGCAATAATGAAGATGGGCATCACTGCTAATCTCAGCATGCCCACAGTTTGGGTGTTCAATTAGTCTTTTATAAAACTAGTCAAAAGCAGACTATCATCACTCTTCGCTAGAAGTGTTTTGACAGTTTTCTCTACAAATTATGTGTCAGAACATCCACTCCTCATAGCTTCACTCTGTCAGTTCTCTCTCTCGCTCTCTCTTTATCCTTTTCTCTCCCTCCTGTCTCTCTGTGCTTCTCTTCTCACACGTCTTCTATCTTCGTTTTAACTGTCATTAAAACAGGCTGTGCATCAGAACCTACTTTAACCTGGATGAAGCTTCTAGAGCTTCTCTTTGTTGGCCTGTTCCTTCCTTCCTTCCTTCCTTTCTTTCTTTCTTTCTTTCTTTCTTTCTTTCTTTCTTTCTTTCTTTCTTTCTTTCTTTCTTTCTTCTTTCTTTCTTTCTGTCTTCTTTCTTTCTTCCTTCCTTCCTTCCTTCCTTCCTTCCTTCCTTCCTTCCTTCCTTCCTTCCTTCCCCTCCTTCCTTCCTTCCTTCCTTCCTTCCTTCCTTCCTTCCTTCCTTCCTTCCTTCCTTCCTTCCTTCCTTCCTTCCTTCCTTCCTTCCTTCCTACACAACCTTTCAATCCACTACCACTGCACTGTACAGTACTCGATGTAGACTATAACCGTAGGGGGGGGGGGGTTAGGGGGTTGCAGTTTATTATGTGTGTTTGTGTCATCTGACATAGCAAATTAAACATTCCCAGCTATATTAACACGCACACACACACACACGCATGCAAGAACACACACATGCGCACACAATCCTTCTCCTCCCTCTCTTCATTTTCCAGACACTGTGCAAGTCTTTTAAAAGTCACCCACCCAGAAAGCGATCTGAAACAATCCACTTCACTCCTCATTAAGCCTCCTTGCTTTCTCTCTATAGAGGTGAGACCTTCCTCCCTGCACATCCCTCACACCCCATCTAGCCCTCGTCGAGAGATAGCTGCCTCTCTCTACCACACTCTCTCTCTCTTATGCTGCAGAGAATACATATATCTCCCTATCTCTATCGGAGAGTGAAGATCGGATAGAGAGCGAGAGCTAGCTAGCGCGATCTACGATAAGATATCTAGAGATAGAGAGAAGAGAGCGGCGAGCGATGCGATAGAGAGGCGATACTAGCTCGATTCGAGTCTATATCTATCTCTATCTTCTCGCTATCTCTATATCATCTCTAGCTATAGCTTATCTATCTTCTTCGCTCTCTCTTCTCTAGCTGCTATCGCTCTCTCTCTCTCTCTCTCTCTCTCTATCTAGAACCTAAAAGGGTTCTTTGGCTGTCGCTATAGGATAACCCTTTGAAGATCCTTTTTGGTTCCAGGTAGAACATTTTTGGGTTCTTTTCCACAGATGGTTCTACCTGGAAACAAAAAGGGTTATCCTATGGGGACAGGAGAAACCCTTTTGGAACCCTTTTGTCTAAGAGTGTATATGTTCCTTCATCTGCCTCTCGACAGTGTCAATAACTATTCAACTACAAAGTTGAATTAAAGTTACTTTGAGGCTTGTGAGATTTTGACACGGAATGTTCCACATCAAGTAACAAATATAGACATTGCCATCACATAGATTTTCTCTGTAATTGTCGGCCGTGGATATGTGAAGAAAATGACTTAGTTTCCAGTGTTCTTTGGCTAGAAGATAAGAATTCAATAACGTTGCATGCAACAGATAATTACTATTATGTTCATTATTCAAGCTTATAGAAAATAATGTTTTGTTTGAATGAAATTACTAAGACTAGCTTGGAAAGAAGACATGCATGTACATGTAGGGGAGAGTGGGGTAAGTTGAGTAATATTTTACATTCAGCATCATTCCATCAAGGGAAATATAGTATTATTTCTTACAAAGATATTTACATATATTTCAGGATGTTGAGTATCCTTGGAAATAATCAGAATTCGTGTCAACTTTACAGTTTTGAAAACACAGCTTGTAAAAAAAAAAAAGTGGTCTCTTGGCACAACTTACAGTACCCAGGCATGGGGTAAATTGAGTGGCAGGACATGGTAAATTAATCTGGATACAAACTTCTGTCCTGAATGAAAAATGACCACTACCTTTTTAAAACCATGTCTATCTTTATTTCCCAAACACAATTCAACACAATCACAATCACTTTTTGTCTATGAATCATTTTAAGCATATTTTAATACAGGCTAACAAAAACATTGTACTTTTTAAAATACTTTTAATATAAGCTAGGCCCTGTTGTTACCTCATATACTAGCGATAATAACTGGCTTGAAAAAAAGTGTTACTGACACATCAAATCAAATCAAATGTTATTTGTCACATACATATGTTTAGCAGATATTATTGTGGGTGTAGCGAAATGCTTGTGCTTCTAGCTCTGACAGTGCAGTAATATCTAACAAGTAATATCTAACAATTTCACAACATATACCCAATACACACAAATCTAAGTAAGGAATGGAATTTAAGAATACAGTTGAAGTCGGAAGTTTACATACACCTTAGCCAAATACATTTAAACTCAGTTTTCCACAATTCCTGACATTTAATCCTAGTAAAAATTCCCTGTCTTAGGTCAGCTAGGAAAACCACTTTATTTTAAGAATGTGAAATGTCAGAATAATAGTAGAGAGAATGATTTATTTCAGCTTTTATTTCTTCATCACATTCCCAGTAGGTCAGAAGTTTACATACACTCAATTAGTATTTGGTAGCATTGCCTTTAAATTGGTCAAACGTTTCGGGTAGCGTTCCACAAGCTTCCCACAATAAGTTGGGTGAATTTTGGCCCATTCCTCCTGACAGAGCTGGTGTAACTGAGTCAGGTTTGTAGGCCTCTTTGCTCGCACACGCTTTTTAAGTTCTGCCCACAAATGTTCTACAGGATTGAGGTCAGGGCTTTGTGATGGCCACTCCAATACCTTGACTTTGTTGTCCTTAAGCAATTTTGCCACAACTTTGGAAGTATGCTTGGGGTCATTGCCCATTTGGAAGACCCATTTGCGACCAAGCTTTAACTTCCTTACTGATGTCTTGAGATATTGCTTCAATATATCCACATAATTTTCCTTCCTCATGATGCCATTTATTTTGTGAATTGCACCAGTCCCTCCTGCAGCAAAGCACCCCCACAGCATGATGCTGCCACCCCCGTGCTTCATGGTTGGGATGGTGTTCTTCGGCTTGAAACATCGCCTTTTTCTTCCAAACATAACGATGGTCATTATGGCCAAACAGTTCTATTTTTGTTTCATCAGACCAGAGGACATTTCTCCAAAAAGTACAATCTTTGTCCCCATGTGTGTGCAGTTGCAAACCGTAGTCTGACTTTTTAATGGCGGTTTTGGAGCAGTGGCTTCTTCCTTGCTGAGTAGCCTTTCAGGTTACGTCGATATAGGACTTGCTTTACTGTGGATATAAATACTTTTGTACCTGTTTCCTCCAGAATCTTCACAAGGTCCTTTGCTGTTATTCTGGGATTGATTTGCACTTTTCACACCAAAGTACGTTCATCTCTAGGAAACAGAACGCGTCTCCTTCCTGAGCGGTATGATGGCTGTGTGGTCCCATGCTGTTTATTCAGTGAGGGAAAAAAGTA